ATTGTTCAAGAACATATCGCAAACGAGCACAGTACACTCTATAGTAGCCACGCGGACGTGGAGAATAATTTGTCTACGAAAAGCAAACAAACTACATGCTAGACCCTACCTAAATTTGTTTACAGAACATAAATGCTGATAGGCTCACGAAGCCTCTATCGACGTTAAAGGTAAATTGCTGTAGACATATTTCACCTCTTTTGTACATGACCGAGGCGTGCTGATTGGAAATGTACCTCGAGTTGCGGATGAAAAAGTTTTAGGAAGTGGAAACACTAATGTGACTCACAGTCTTAGTCACTATCCGAGGATTCGGTGTGAAACAACACGTCGGGATGTGCACTTGCGGCTGGATTACGATTTAGACAGTTTGCCTTTCACTTGCTGGTACAATTTGTTTGTTGAATCCTTTGCAGTCGTACAATTTCTATCTGCAGGTTTGCAGTCCTGATGAAAGCGAAAAGGAGCCGCGTACGAGTGTCAGTATATGTTTTTTACAATCCAAGGCAATTAATTCCTATCTGCTCTTTCCGCATTGGCACTTCGTACTAATACGACACAACCCTTTGACGTGTTACAAAACCTTCGCAGCAGCATATTTTACAATAGGAAAAGCATTTGTGTTTTTGGATAGGTTCAACAGTCTACTCTAATACTGTATCGTACCAGAAGCGATGTAATAATGAGGCTAGTAGACGTTTGCATCCATATTTTATGTGCGTATACTATAGGAATGAAGCAAGATTATCAACTACTTGGTGTGTTTTGACAAATTGGGATGATCAATATTCTACCCCAAAATTGATATTTGTTGATGGTTTACATGTTTGAAGGGTTGATCGAACTTCTTTCGATCAAACAGGGCACCGGCAGTCACGAACTGACCAACAGAACGAGCAAAGATTTACTGACATCAGAGGTTGTCAGTGCCCTATCACAATACTTACACATTACTCAGAAAGCGTAAAATGCAAAGACGATGTAATGTGGTTGTGGTGAAAGTAAAATTGTATTAAAATAAATAGTATTTAGTTCTCTTCTTCTGTTGATTACCCTACTTTATTTGTATAAATATACGAATATGTATTGTGACGTCTACTCACCACCATTGCGCCCGTCAAGCAGCGATCGGTGTGTTAACATTATTTCATGCATAAACCAATGAGTCGACTCTGGGATGGCTGGAAGAGTATCACGTTGTGTTGTGATATTACAAGAGGAACATTCAACGTAACAGTCTAATATTACTAAACCTTATCACGATATCATTATGAAACAAGATCGCCGCCCCGTTACATTGACTACCTATCATGATGATGTGTATCTGCGAACATGTAGGGCAGCTAGTTGCTCACCACGCCTTGCGCTTCTTTGTCGATTCTCAATATTGTGAACATGCTCGCTGGTGTGATGACTGTGACAGACGCGCAGTGCGATATCGTCTACTACCGTGATATACGGCCTCCAACGGTCACAATCCATCGAACTTACCGTCCAGGGTCATATTGATATGCAACCCGATGTTTCTTGTTCTACTGACATTCTACTACATGTTCATACCATGCAACGAGCTCAATTCGTCACGTAAGTCTTCATTTCTGGATGAGTGATCAGAGCCACTAGAATCTAAACTTGTCCACACCATGCAGGTACCTTGGCACGATATGCGAGTGACGCACATCGTTTTATAGAGTATATCGTAGTTGTACTCGTGAAAATGGGTGTAGAAGTAATCGTATAACATATCCAGTGTCAACTTCGTCTGTCCCCAGTACAACATGTAGTTCGCCTGCACTGCAAGTCGACCAGGTCAAGTTGCACATGGCGTACGTCCGGTCTACCCATCATCATATGCTGGTCCCATACTGCGTTGTATCTCCCCGTCGAACATGTTTCGGCATCTGAATGACATATCATGCTGACCGTTCCCCTTGTCCATTTATATCAAGTTGTTACTTGTCAGCCGATCAGGCGAGGTCAAATCTTGTCCGTAAGAGGTCTTGGACTTGATCATCAACACCTTCGCGACCAGTAAGAAACCATATCTTTTTTATTCCTTGTAGATTAGTATGGCAATATCCCACACCTCTAGCTGCTGGCACTTAACAAGTTATCAGAAAATGAAAAGAACGAATGGAATGTTACTACCCAAGCTGGTCTTCCGATCAGTTTCGACGACCAGTATGACGCGGTCGGCGTAAATGGCGCGGGATGAATGCGCAACATCCCTACTCTTCACAAACAAAAAACTGCGGAAGCCACAGCGTGCTGAATAGATGCAGTCTGTCCTGTCCTGCAAGTTCCCGACTTGACGCAAAAAAGCCACATGTGCTCATACATGTGTCGGTGTAGCAGCAGTCGGCAGTCCATCCTCTAGCAATCCGCTATATTGAACCAATGACCCACTGAACGCACGAGAAATCCGTTGTTAATGCACATCTCCGGACAATTCTTGCGGTTGCTGCAGATGAGCGATCGTGGCTGCACGATTGGCATCTGAAGACAGATGAAAGCAATTCCCAAACATCAACTGCATTGTCTCTCATCTCTGATTGCTCTCTGGCGATGCAGGTAGACGGCTTTGCGCGTTCCTCTCTGTCGCTGCACCAATTCCTTTCGTTCTTGTACCACTGCATTCGCCACGATCCCTCGAGTCATTATGCTGCAGAGTGGCAGGGGGGAAAAAAATGACAAGTCTAGGACTCAAGCAGCGACAAAACGTGGTGTAACTCGCCACGCAGCAAGCGGAAGGCGATTTCCGTACAGCGCCTTTTTCCGCTACGCGTACAAGCCTTCGCGCTATCTATCACTGGACAATCTGCGAGACAGCAGCATGCAATGAGTGCAGTAGTTCAAAACTTAGCCACCGTAGCACGTCAAACGGGTCTCCTAAGTAAACGCTCTGCGTGCTGTGATAACGGACTGCGCATACCAACTTCTCTGGCCAAGCGTTGCCCGTGTTGTCGATGCCTATTGCGGCGAATTCAATGGACCCCAAAGGTAAAACACGCACAGCACCAATCGCTCAAAACACACGAGATCGACTGTCTATTACCCTCTTGGCTCTGTGGCATGTCGTCATCGGATACAAACGCACGGTATGGACGCAATTTGCTAGCCAAACTTACTCGCCCCTCCACCAGTGGTCGGACGACGCACGTGCAGCGAATTGTACATGAACGAATCGACAAAGCCAGCAATCTGTAGACAAACACAATCAGCACAAGGATATCGTAAGTCCAGCTCGCTGTAGAGCTGCGAGTTTTTCTGTATGCACTCAACGCACCGAGATGACGCCGCCCACGATGGCACACACTTTGGTGAGGAAATGCGTGAATGGCATGCGCTTATTCTCCACCTTCACCATAAAAGGCGACAGGTCGTACACGAAAAAAGTGCCTGCAACGTATATGAGCAAAAGGATCCGAAACAGTGTAAACGTCATGACCCTGACAACCAAACACAAAGAAGATCGGCGCGATAGTTTTCGTACCCGGCAGCGACTTCATCTGTCCGAACGGGCCCATATAGTTGCTCTGCTGCGTGACCGCAAACTAGTTCGACAAAGCATATGGTTACTTCAACAGGCATCAAATCACTTTTGACAAGGCAATTGTACGCACCTGGTACGAGTAGATCGGGTTGTCGTCAACACCACCGTAGATCGTAGGCACGATCTTGATGTAGTACTGAAACACGCCGCCATCTATATGATACCGAGCAAGAGAAAAAATACATAAACAGAAAAACAAGTCAGTGGGCTACTTCAAGTGACGCTCCTCACCATGCAGTGCATTCGCGTACACTGTGCCGCAATCTTCAATACTCCGTCAAGTGGACCAGCGACACCAGCCACGGGCTCGCCAAACGATAAGCTGTGAATGACGTGGCTCGAGTTGTACGAGTACTCCTCGCCCGGTCGAAACTGGTGCATAAGCTTTCCCTGTCGATGGAACGTATGTCCAAGTGCCACGTGAAAGTTGCCGGCCACGCGGTTCAAGAGCATAGTGCCCGTGAACCGACAGCCTTCGCCGTCCTGCGCCAGTGTCTCTTCTTCCACGCTCTCGCGCACACACTGTGCCTTCTGGCTCGCTTCCTCCAGCGATTGGCCACTGCTCACGAACGCCTCCTTCACGTCGTCACACGTGTTGCAGCAGCTTTTGCCCGCCGGGTGTGTAGCTCCGTAGCAGCTGCCACAGGCGTCCACTGCTTCGTCTGCCTTCTCGTCTCCTGGTGCACTCGCCGTCCCGTCTTTGCGCATTGCAATGGGCCGTCCAATCGCCTGCCCGCGGCTGTCCAGACGGGTCTTGACCATTGTCTGGTGCATGTTCACCTGCAGCTCCCCCGCAACGTCCATCGCGTTCATGTGCGCGTCGCGGCAGTTGAGCGCCAAGTAACTAATGTCCACATGCGCCTGCAGCTTCGCATTGAGCGACGCGTCCACGACCATATGCTCGTGCGTGTTGGGCCGCCAGTACGCGTGCAGCTCCGACGTCAAGAGCACGAGCATGACCAGACCTGCGAGTAGGGAGACCCGCGCGCCCCACTCGGTCTGCACGTTGAACTCGCAGTGCATCTTCGGGTACACGTCGACGGTCTGCAGCACGCGACGCGCAGAACGGGTCACGAGGTTCTCGTGCGCGTCGCCCGCGCTGGCGGTCGCGTCGCTCGGGACGGCGCGCTGTCGCATGCTGACGTACGCGCAGGGGGTTTCAATAATGGGCTGCGTGGCACTCGGCGGCTGCGCGCACCTTCGCGCGACATGACAAAATGGCTCGTGTGGACCACGTCGAGTGTCCCCTTCGCGCAACCGCCGCACGGGCGCGCGACCGACCGACGGACTGACTGACTATTGACGGAGGTGCAAGTGGCTGTTGCAGCAGTTGTGGGCATAGCCGTCGAGTTCGAAGACAAAGTGTAGCGAGCGGCAGTCGCATTGGAGCGAGCAAATGGACCGAATGGATCGTGTTAAGTTGTCGATTGGAGAGGCGAACATAGAAATGAGTGCGTGTGCTGCTGTGACGAACGCAGAAGAGGAGGACAGCGATGTGGACGCGTGGGCCGTGGAGCTTGAGGCGGCGCTGGACTGTGGACGAGGTATGAGTGGCTTGTGCTTTGGGATAGAGGCAGCAGGAGAGGGTGAGGTGGCTCGTGAGACGTGGCCTGATGCATTTTGGGGAATGAGTTGTGTCCATGTGTGTCTAACAAGAGTGTGTGTATCCATGTGGGTGTGTCTGTCTGTGTGGGTGGGTGGGTGGGTGATGAAGTAGATGATACGTGTCGCTTGGTGGGTGACGGGTCTGCTCATCGGTCGGATGCAATTGGACCGATGGAAGTGACCAAAGAAGTGGGAGTGGAGGAGGAGGAAGAGGAGGAGAAAAAAGAGGCGGAAGGAGGTGAGATGGTCGACAAGGCAGCGGCAGTCGAAGCTTCTGGTTGGTCAGCTGCTGCGACGTTGCCGCACGAAGTGCTAGCGCTCATCCTCAGCTTCGGTCAAGTCGGGCGCGTGTGCAAGTCGTGGAGTCTCGCAAGCATTGCAGTCGCCCGTCGTCGCTTCTCGTCGCGACTCACGGACATTTTGCGTCCCTTGGACTCGAAAGCAGTGATACTGGCGCTGGATGTGGAGGAGGAACTCTATGCAGCATACGGTCAGAGGTGCGGGTGAGCAGAGGAATTGGTGACAACTTGGCATGGGCTCGGCCAAGCACTAACGCGTGTGCTATGCTTCATGTGTTGGGGAATGATCCGACAAACGCAGCCACTCGTTGACGAAAGCGTACGCGCACAAGGCACGAACGCTGCTATTCAACCTGAAGGATGCACGGAACGTCGATCTGCGCAACCGACTCGTGTCGGGTGACCTGCCGACGCACAATCTGGTGCGCATGAGCGGCCCCGACATGGCCAATCCGCAGCTCGTGCGTCAGCGGAAGGAGTGGATCAAGAAGCGCACACACGAAGTGATGCGCGACGGCCGCGAAGTCGAGGGCTTCGAGTCGGACCTGTTTGAGTGCCGCAACTGCGGCAGCTCACGGACACGCTATCGCCAGTGGCGTCGCAAGGCTGTGGTCGACCGTACGCGGATCATCATCATATGTCTGAGGTGTCCGTATCGATGGGAGCTGTAGCCTACTGGTAGAACACCAGGACCGAGCCGTTCTCCGGGAAGCGAATGCCACGTGAGGCGCTGCAGTTCGTGTGCGGCTGATCGTACTCTAGCGAATCGGTCAAATCGCTGGACACCATCATTGCCATGAACAGCTCCGAAGCCGGCGACTACGAAGACTTTTTTAGCACCGAGCTGTTCGTCAATCGCGAGTAAGCTGTTGCTGCGTTGACACATGTGAGTTGCTCGTCCAGCGTTAACGTCCTCGCTAACTCGTTGTCGTGCAGGTACGCTACGCAGGAGTTCGACTTTGGCGTGGCACAGCAGAAGCTGCAATGCTCTCACGCCGCTTCCACGGACCACGACCTCACAGGTCAAGTCGTGTGGCCAGTCTCAGCTTTCCTAGCATGGTACCTCGTGGCCCACCGTGAGGAACTTACTGGCAAGACAGTCGTCGAACTGGGCGCTGGCGCAGGCCTCAGTGGTCTTCTCGCGTCTCAATTTGCGTGCGTCTTTGCTCTTCTGTGTCTCGCGTTGTTCGGTTCGTAATGTCTTTGGACGTGTGTCGGAACAGAGCTCACACCGCCTTGACGGACGGCAATGATATTGTGCTGGAGCTGCTGAAAGAAAATGCCGAGACGAACGCCGACCAGAGCAAAGTGCAGGTGCTGCCGCTGCTGTGGGGTGAACGTGCGAGCGTTGAAGCTTTCGAACGCGCGTTTTCTCACCCTGTGGACGTGCTCGTTGGCGCCGACGTCGTGTGCTGGCCCAATCTTGTGAAGCCTATTCTACAGACGATCAAGTACTTGCTGTTGCGCTCGCACGAACCGCTGGCGACCAAGTTTTGCTGCGGATTCGTGTGTCGTGCGCAGTCGACAGAAGACCTGCTGTACAAAGAGGCATCGGCGTTCGGCTTCCGGTTCGAGATCGTCCAAGACGACACATTTCTTCCCGCGCCGCGACCGGCTGATGTGATCTCGAACCGTGAATTGCAGCTGATCGTGTTCACGCTGGACCCGCACAAGGCCAATTGGGACGAGTCCGTGACATTTAATGACGATGAGCTGAAGAACCTGCAGACTGCTTGCTAGAGCAGGCCGTGTGCGAGAACGCAAAGCATACAGAGAGGAAGAGAGAGGATTCTCGTAAAGAATCTTAATGCACAAGTGATGAGTTTGCGTCTCTCCGTTTGTAAATAGGATCAACAGACAGCATATGTAATGGGGTTACAGGTCGGCTGGTAGTCGACAATGGGTGTGGTGCACACAAGGAATGGGATCCTATTTAAAGTAAATATTAGAGCACAGTATCGATTGAGGAAGACTGATGTCTGTCAACCATTGATTACGAGATCTTTTAAGAGGTTTATTTAGGACATTAGCGAGTAGGTGGATTACGTTGATCTAAAATGTTCTTTTAGGTTTAAAGAAAAAATAAAGATCAGTTCCCATCTTGATCTTCATAAGACACGTGCCTCACGAAGCGTCTTGATCGTAAGTGCTAGCAACGCCTGTAAAGGTAGCTGCTCTTGAGCACTGTGTGCTGTGATTCTTTGAATCGTTTGGTCCCCCTGGAACAGGGACCGTAAGCTCTCTGAGCTTGTTGACCCTCTGAGTCGGGTTCTTTGAACCAAGCCTTAGCTCTTTGAGCTGTTGACTCTTTGAGTCGGGTTCTCTGAACCTCGAGTTGCTCATTGAGCGTTAAGTCTTCCTCTGACTTAAGTAGCTGTTTATCTCCGCTATAGCACGGGTCACGTCAATGTACCGTCATCATTCGATCAACGCTGTCGTTGTCGCCCATGATAAACAAACACCAACGCTCGATTTTGTCAGCTAACTTCAGCCGCAACTCCACACGAATAGGGTCGTTCCCAGATGCCGAATGCGACGATACACCACTAACTAACTCAGCCGTTGACGAGATCAGATAGGAAAGGCCACCAATCGTTGCATGGTCCTTGCAGTCCATAAGCATTTGGCACGTGCTCTACACACGATGCATTGTCTCGAGCAGGTTTCATGGGGCCCTTGTCATATATGACACGACCAGCATTACATCTGCAATTAATCGAAGTCCACGCGCGCGTTTGCTTGCTCTGCATTAGTACGAGCGAACACCATGTCAACGGCGCTCGTACAGAGGCGAGGAGTTAAGGTTGGAAACGGGCAAACGATCATACAGAATTGTGGTAAAGCGAACTTTCTGGAAAGGGTAGACTCAAGGAGGGATGGACCGGAGGGACAGGGGCCTCGCGATCGGACAGGGACTGGAGGCCAAGGAGCCACAGAGGAGAAGCGGCCGTTGGGTTCCAGCCGTTGAGAGCGGCACCAATGCGGATCGTTCTCAACCACTCGTCGGTCGACCGGGCCACTCGTCGGTAGGGACGACCGACCAATGCGGTCTCGGTCACCCAAGGGCCGACCTGGTCACCCTTTGGTGGGTACGGCCGATCAAGGCGACCTCGGTCACCCAAGGGCCGACCTGGTCACGCTTTGGTGGGTACGGCCGATCAAGGCGACCTTGGTCACCCAAGGGCCGACCTGGTCACGCTTTGGTGGGTACGGCCGATCAAGGCGACCTCGGCCGCCCAAGGGCCGACCTGGTCACCCTTTGGTAGGTACGGCCGATCAAGGCGACCTCGGTCACCCAAGGGCCGACCTGGTCATCCATCGGCCGACCCGGACTATCAAGATCAAGCGTCCCTGACCACTCAGCATAGTGAGTCCAGGCGTAAGGCAAGTACAGAGTATAGGAGTGTAAAGGATAGGACATTATTAAAGACTACTCAATTTGCGATCGAAGCCACACGTCTCGTGAGCCAAGAGGCTTGTAAGTCTACCAACCTGTTCCGGGCCAGGGATCTATTTGGCCCACCCGTTGAATAGACAGTGCTGGTAAGACTCAAGTGCAAATAGAACCCCAGGAAGTATATTGGCCTGTAGGTTCGTGGAGTAGCACCCCCCCAACTCAATCCCGCTATAGGAAGCGGTCTCCATACCCTAGTGGTAAGGGAGAGGATACATAAAGGCCAGGCGGTGGACACCCCTGAGACACATAAAGGCCAGGCGGTTAACACCCCTGAGACAAGCAAAGGCCAGGCGCTACTAGCCCTGAGAACTCTGGTTATAAGTCCACTCTCAACCAAGTTGACCGAGTGGCTGCCCTAACTGGACCCCGACTGAAGCATATCCGCTCGGGGCCCCCAAGGTCGACACACACCAAGACCGACATCTAACTCCATCGCCACGTCCTCCGAAGAGTGATACCCGCCAAGCCGACGGGTACACAAGGTGAGTTTAAGATCCAAGCGGAATAGGAGTACCCCCTCCTCAAGTCGGCAGTCCAGCACAGTGGGCGGTTTGGAGTCACGCCAATCGATTTTGGCGACCCACTCCACCACAGAATCGACAAAAGTAAGCATACACAAGACAAATCGGAACGCCAGCACATATAGCAACTTACTCGCCCGGGATGAGGAAGAAATGACGATGAGACTGTGGTGAAGTCACTAATCAAAGAGGATCGGTGGCTACACATTTGGGACGCCGCTTTTTGGTGGAAAAATAGGCCATGGGACTTGGCGATCCAATAAGAAAAACGGGATCGGCGATCCGATCCAACTGTCGTCCGACTGATGGGTATGGAACGATCTGAGACGGGGTGATTTGGGACAAGACGACAGTTAGGACGATTTCCATGGAGCGATCTGGGACAAGGATCTGATATCGGGCGATGTGATGTGACTCTGTGACGAAGGTATGACATCCTGCAGACTGGTGACACTCTCTACGGGTCTCCCAAAGGGAGTACTGGTTTAGGCTAATTATGGACCGATCTGGAATTGGGGATGTTTGTGGGGGTCTGCGGGACCGTTGTAAGAATTGTGGATGGTCCCATTGTGCGGATAACCCGTTGAGTATAGTATCGGAGCATGCACAATAAACGGAAAAGACATACAGGGCCGGATCGCACTGTGTCGATTCTCAACGATCTCGAATTGGACACCAGATCGGCCATGTTCCCTGCTGGTTATTGATATATCGATGATAGAGCTATTGTATGATGATGTACATGCTTGTTGGAGATTCATGAGTAGTGTCCCAAAAGTTCAGACCGGAAGAGCCAGTGGAAGTCGGTCGAATTGACGTCGCAAAATGGATTTAGACACATTCCACATCTTGGATACTATTTTGGACTTTTCGGTACTAAAATTGGGTATTTGGTACCATACTTGGAATTTGGTCCTTTTTGGTGTCTAGGTACGATATCGGGGGTATTGGCGCTATCTTTGGAGTATAGGTCACGAAATTTCGACACGTGTTCAAGGGGGCGGTCAAGATTAAAGGTGATATCGACTTGGACAGTGACCTACGGTTGGGAATAGGCTTAATTATAGGTTGGACATTAATTTGGTTGGTTAATAAACAGACTTGAACTCTACTTCTTCTGCTCACGACGCACGTTCTCCTCCCCTCTTCTCCGGGCAAGATTGATTTGGCTTCCCCGGCGGGTCAAGGCACGCGTGTTACAGGGACACAGAAGACCGATCTTGGATTGTTGGCCAAGATCGAGAAGAGCGATCTCGGGATATCTGGCCCGGATCGATCAAGTACTCACACTCAACTCAACTGCTAGGGTAGCAGCCACACAACAAAGGAAAAGGAAAAGGATTTTGGACACAAGATCGCGAGACGGCTCAATTGGTCAGAAGATCTGGACAAGGCGTTCAAGACAAGACCGAGCGAGATCGAAGCGATCTACTGGACATATCGGCGTGTTTCATTTTGGTGAAACCAAGAACCGATCTGTCCATATTGCGCACTTCCGGCAAGATCGGCCGATCCCGAGACCAGATCGGACCGATCCCAACGCAAAATCGACGCAAGACTATTATTTTCTGAGTGAATATTTCCGCACAGCGAAGACCCCAATCCCTAAGACGAATCGAGATCGGTGTGATTCAAGATCGAGATCGCGACATCTCCAACTATAGATCGCCGCGACTCAAGATCAGGATCGCAGAACCCCGTTCGTGGTGTGCAGATACCCGCACCGTAATCGAACTCTCGACCCAATATCTCATCGAGGTCGACATCTACCAAGGCCGTTACGAAGAGCTCAAGCCAGTCCAACCGACGGGTACACAAGGTGAGCACAAGGCTATACAACTAGGCACGGATCGTAGTACCCCCTCCGTGAGTCGGCAAGTCTGGGCAAGTGGAAGATCTACATTCACTTAAGTAATTTTGTGAGATCAACTTCACCACAATGAAGTGCGTGCCCAAATCTTCGGAGGCCTCTGGATTTCACCGTGAGTCGACTGGCAAAGATGTCAAGATCAAGCAAGAACCTGGGATGGAAGTGTCAGCGACAGAGGAATCGACGCAGACACGCAAAAACACAAGATCCTCAGATCATCAGAGTTTTGGAAGAGGCTCTGATGAAATTTAAATGAAAGAGGAATATAGAGAGATTGATATGGAAGATAAACCTCAATTCCTTCCTTGGGCTCTTTCGTGATCCACCGCAGATCGCTCTGCAAAGAGCGATCTGCTGGATGAAAACCCAAAGGCGAAAGCCAAACCCTACTTCCTCGTCGACAGATCTCCCGACCTCAAGCGAGGAACTCAATCGCGAGATCGACCACATCGGAACGTTCCACGACGATATCAATGGGATCGGACGTCAAAGATCTCTAGATCGGCCACCTGTGCAATCGGAGATCGGAGTCAAAGAGGAACACGATGGAACACCAGATAAGATCGCGATGCCAAAGACGGAATACAACCCAGTGAAGATCGCGTTCAGAGAGAAGAAGAAGACGAATGAAGCGCGGGAACGTGCGAAATGGCAGTACTATTATGGCCATTTGAAGACTCTGCTCACGACGGATCCAGTGTTCAAGACATTAAGGCCCAAGTTGATTGGTCCTCTGGATAAGCCGATCTCGGTCCCACCTCCTGGGACCAACAAAGTCGACGAGATCAATTTGATGTTGCAGATGTTGGACGACATGGGTGTCTGCCCTAACGCTTTTGATGGAGATGAACTGCTGAGTTGCAGCTTAAAACAGTTGAACAACGCGGCGAAT